GAAGAACTGAGCTGCAGAGGGGGCTGGTGCAAGTCCCCCGGGGCATCTGCTGACTGCTAAGCGGCACCTGCTCTGAGTAAGAGGCGAGACCCTCCAGAAGCAAATTCTCCGAGGCTAAAAGTCTAGAGAGAAAATAGGAACCTCATAGTAAACAATTAGCTTTCAGGTTGCCAAGAGGAAGGCGAAAACCTCAGGCTCCATTGCTACCCATGGAGGGCTTTTGCTTCAGAGAGATGGCAAACCTTGAACGACCAGTCATGATCAGTTGAAGTGATCTACGCATACCACCTGTCAGCTGGTAGAAATTAAATAATTAAGTGCAATTAACATGCATCACAGATAAAGGGCCAATATATATCCCCCAACGCATAATGAACTCTAGAATTAAGGGGGAATCAAAAACCCCAAAAGAAAAAGAAAGCAAGAGTCACAGGCAATCCACAAAGATTTTAGCGTGATAGACAACGCCTCATAAGAGAAATGCAAATTCTGATTCTGCTGAGATGCCGCTGCTCAATTATCAGATTTGGCAAAAGTTAAAAGCTTGACAGCACATTCTCTTGACAGAGCCAGGAGGAAAGAGACACTCTTTTACATTGTTGGAAGCATGTCTCCACCTTTAAGGAGGAAAATTTGACAGTACCTGACAAAACCGCAAGTGTTCGCACGCCGACTTACGTCTGAGAATGCTCCCTGAAGGTATACCCTCGACCACACCAAAACACCTGTACATCACTGTGGTTGCAGGGAAGAACACACACAGGTTGCGGGCTGAATAAACTGGTACATTCGCACCCTGGGTAGCAGGCAGCTGTGAATCAAACCTGAAGGATGTGACATGGCGTGATTTCCGGGGTATGACGATCGTCAGCCAAAACACGGAAGTACAGAAGAGCATACACATCACTTCTGTATAAGCTGTGCCCCGGGGCGGGGGAGTCTCGCTTTCTCTCGTTTTCTCTCTCTATCTCGAGCAGGTGCATGCACCCCGCAGCAAAATTTAAAATGTATACATATATAACAGGTCTATTAGGCACTGATCCCCAACATGGCTGACTGCATGATTCAAGTCCCGAGCCCTATGGCTTCAAAATCACAACAGGCACCTGTGATGCGTGCCCAAAATCCTGAGAGGAGAATGGAGGAGAAGGGATTGCAGGATGGCCAGCCCCATGGGGATGATTTCTCAGTCTCTCTCTCTCTCTCTCTCTCTCTGTCCCTCTCTGGTGAGCACATGCACCCTCTTTCTTTGGGGAAACATTTTTTGAAAATTCCTGGTGGATGAGAGAAACTCTGGGTAAGAAGTAATACTATAATTCGCAAATCATTTCCCCACTGAAAGACATGAAATCACCGATTTAAGAATCCTGAATCAAAGCTGGATGAACGAAATAAAACCAAATGAAAACTGAAAACTAAAGACAACCTGAACTGAAGCAAAGCCAAGACCTTCGAAGCAATGAACAATACGCTAGCTCATTCAAAGGAAAGCATGGAAGACAGAAGGCTAAAGAATGGCATACAATATTTAAAGTCAATAGTTGCAAAGCTAGAATTTTACACCCCAAAAAATGTCCTTCAAACATAAAACCAAAGCAGTTATTTTCAAGTGAACGAACACTGAGCGCACGGTGCGTGCCTGCAACCCGGCTGCCAGAGCGCAGGACCGCGTGTGAGGGCCCTGTTAGAGCGGCCTGCCCTCTCTGCCTCCCTCATAGAAAACACCGAAAAGATAAACTCGTTTAAGTAGACGGTCATAGAAAAGACCGACGTGAAGGAGTGGGACACAAGCATTAACGCACACCAAAGTCCGGTGTGGGTGTACTAACGTCAGACCAAGCAGATGTATTATTATGTCTGAGAGGGGACTTGTGGTAAAGGTATGGTGTCAATTCAACATGAACATCCCATCGCATAACCGCAAATAAATTTAGAAAAACAGAACAAAAGGTACAAGAGACAAATCACTCTCCCCCTGGGCTGTTGTAACATACCTGTCCCAACTGAGAGAATAAGCAGAAAATGCATTTACTATAATATAGAAAGGAGAGCAACATAATTAAAAAACTGAACATAGCACCCAACAATTATAGAATACACATTATTTTCAAACACATTTAGAACAGTCACCAAAATGAAAGATGTATTGGGCCGTAGAGCAAGTCTCAAAAGATTTCAGAGAATTTAAAATCAAGCAGAGTATGCTTTCTGGTAGAGCAGAAATACTCTAAAAACCAATAACAACAAGAAAATATTTTTTGGATGGTGTAATGGTTTCATTGCTGAACTCCTACCTGGTCAGCTGCGGTTATAGTCTCAGACCCAGAATCTTGAAACATGCTAGGCACGTGTGCGTGCGTGCGTGCCCAAAATCCTGAGAGGAGAATGAGGAGAAAGGATTGTAGCGTAGGCATCACACCTGGGGGGTGATTTCTCTCTTTTGTCTCTGTCTCTCCAGCAAGTGCAACACCCTATTGTAAAAATTTCTCTTAAAAAAAAAAAAAAAGAAAGAAAACACTTTTTGAAGTCCCAAACATCCTAAAAATCAATCAACAAAGTTGTAAATAATCAATAAGTTAAATAAGAAATCTCAATAAAAATAAGAAAATATTTTTAACATAATGATAATGAAAATGTTATTTTTAAAAAGTGTGGGCTAATCTGTGCATTGAAAAAAACACAATGGTCACGTAAAAACCTAAGGATGGAAATCAGTGATCTAAGAATACCACTTACACATCAAAAAGAATAGCAAGTTAAACTCAAAGAAAGTGTAAGAAAGCTTAAGAAAAATAACAAAATAATCACAAAATAAAACAAAATAACCAAAAATAACAATCAATAAAATAGAAAAAAAATCATTTGGAGCAGAGGTAGACAAACTTTTCTGTAAATGAACTAATGGCAAATA